GATACACGAGCAGCGTCCCGCCCCCTCGCCGCAAACCTGTCCCCGAAGTCCGGGGGGGCTGGGGCCACGAGCGCCCCCTCTCCCGCCCGCCCCGCTGCAAACAGCCCCGGGCGGTCGGGCGCGCCCCGCTCCGGCTCACCTGTGGCGCCCCAGAACAAGAGCCCCCAACCGAGCAGGCTCCCCGCCGCCCCGCTCAGAGCCATGGTCGGCAGCCGCAGAGTGAGGCCGGGGAGGCTCGGCGGGTTTGGAGAAGCCCAGGGGCTGACGTCAGGTGGGAGGGAGGAGGGGGCTGGACTGGGAGCTGGTCCAAGCAGGGGCCACCGACTGCGCCGAGCCAGCCCATCTCTCCAGCCCCTGGCACACAGGTCAGCGCTTCTCCTCCACTTCAGCGGGGACAGGCCGGGGCTGGGGGCACCACGGGGCTGGGGGGAGTGGGCGAGAGAGGAGCTGTCCCAGGGCAGCGGCACAGACTCTGCTCCCCGGAGGGCAGCGCTGGGAGATGGGGGGATTTATTTCTATACCCCTTGAATGATACAAAGGTGCCTGCGCTTTATCAGAGCCGCCGGCTGCTGCTTTCCCTCCAGGCATGGTCCTTCCCCTGCAGTCTCAGCGGCTGGCTTGCTCCGTCTCCGGGACCCCTTCCCCCCAGGTGAACAGTTGAGTTGTGACTGCAGATTTGGTTGGGAAGATGCAGGTTTTTCTGTCCCGCCCCCCCACGCTGGCTTTTGTTCCAAGCCCAGGTGACAGCTTTCCCTTTGCCATTTGCAGACACCTATTTTATGGTTCCACTGGCACTTTTGCCTTCCAGAGGCTCTGCACCTTCGCCTGCTGCACATACAGAAACACAGAAGGGCCCATACAGGATGGTTTCCTGCTGTACTTCTGCTGGTCTAGAGGCTTCGGGTTTTGAGATTTTGTGTAGTTTCCCCCTCTCCCAGCCTATGTCTGTCTTGTCTACTTAAGCTGTCTGGGGTAAGGAATCTTTCTCCTATGTCTGAGCAGCACCTGCCACAATGGGGCCTCGATCTGGATGGGAGCTGCTTTAATCTAGCCATGATTTGAAACAGTCAATAATCCAAGCAATGCAGCTTCCCCTGAGAGGGTCCTACAGCTGAGCAGGTCTTGCTGCTTTTCCTGTTATCCAGCCAGTTTTTCTTAACTTCATTCCATGACTCCTTATTACCCACCCTGCTCCGTGTACCACCTTAAAACATTCCTCCCCTTTGGACGCAGCAGTTAGCTGCAGACGATGATCATGTCTCTGCTATAAGTAAATAACATCAAGCCCATGTCTCTAGGTTGTTCTCGAGCCTCGTAAATAGCCCTGTAACTGGAAACGTAGAGGAAATGCTTTACTGGGTCTGGGCACAGTCTGTTTTTCAAGTGCTTATAACTCTGTTATTGGGGGTTTAATTCCAATTTAGCCTGAAGAATTGCAGCTTGTCTGGTTCAGCTGGTTTGGGGTTACAAATGGACAGGGAAAGTTTGTAGCAGCCGGCTCCTAGGCATCAGAGATGGAAGAAAAAAAACCATTGGGGTGCCCTGGCTATCGAGCTGAGCCTAATGTAGACTTGTTTCCTTAAGATATGTACATCTGATTTCCCACCCTGGGACTCGTCCCATCAAGCTGGGACCCTGCTACCATTTAGCAGTATGGGAAGGATGGATGCAGTCATGATCCCCGACAACTGGTTTGCGACTCCCAGGTTGAGAACCCCATTGCCAATGGTTTGCCCAGTCTGGTTTTAAATATCCTGAATGTTGGGGCATCTATAATGACCATCTCCCACCATGGGTCATCAGCAGGATCCCCAACACTGCCTCTACCACCAGAGGTAAAGGACTAGCTGTGGTAGCAGCAGTAGGCTGCTATCTTCTATTGAGAGAGGGGATATGGCACACAAAGCCAGTGTGTTACATTCTGACCCTTTCCCTTGGGGGACTGTCCCACTGCCTATTAGACCTCTTTGCTGGGCCCTTTCTCCTGATATTCAACCTCCTTTCCCTTTCTTAATCCTTGTTACACCTAACTCATTCCTCTCCATCACTATCTATCTGTATTACAGGGACGCCTTGGGGTCCCAGATGAAATCCAGACCCCATTGTGTTAAGTGGAAACTGAATGCTCTTCCCTGTGTTACTGAGACCAATGTAGGGGACTTGAGTGACCCTGGAAGCATTTGATTTAACAATGTTATGTTGGCGGTCAGTGGGAAGTTCTTCAAAACCACAGAGCCATGTCTCTTACCTCTATGAATAGGAGTAAACTTAAGTGTCCTCCAAAGCTCTTGGCTAATTTCTCTGGCCACACTGACATCAGCAGAGTTGCACCTGTTTAGATCAGCAGAAGTCCATTGATCGAGATCTTCAGAGATATTTAGGCCTTAACTCCCACTGCCTGACACTATCCCAGCCGTTGGATTGCAGACAGGTTCTTGCCCACTTCAGCAAGGTACCTGGGCATCTGCCTACCGGTTTGACAGGTAGGATCGTGTTGAGAGGCCAGGGTTGAAATCTGCCTCTTGCTGTCTCTCTGGGCCAGGGCAGAAGCTACGCAATAACTGTGCATTGGATACATGCAAGGTTCTGGGTTAGCCCTTGGCCCTTTTTAAAATCAGAAGGAACAGAGTCCAGAATTTATCTGGGGCGGGGGGAGGGAGGGGGTCAAAGCAGAATCAAATAAGTTTGCTCTTCCGAGGACCTGTCTGTACACCTGGAGTGATGCAAGATGACATCACAAAGCTCCTGTGTTACATCATAGCATTGTGGTGAAGCTGCCCATCTCTGTCTCCCCGTTGAAGGTGCCTGTCCCTGGGTCGAGGCAGCCTGGAAGGCAACGGCAGGTTGGCTGAATTTCTCTTTTTCACGCTCCTTCGGCAACACACAGATTCCAGATTGGAAACGGCCAAGCACAATGGCTCTGTAGAAAGCCCCTTTGGCTCTCGCCCCCTCCCCCACCCGCCCTGCCACCCCCTTCAGACGAAGCACAAAGCTGCCCATGCAGCTGTTGAATCCTGTGCCGTGCAGCGGCTGTGGGAAAGCAGTTCTCAGGCCTGTACGGGTAGGGAGAATGCGTCAGAGCCCACGCGGCTGGAGGAGCCTTTGATCACTGCCAGAGCTGTGCAAGGCGGTGATTACCCAGCAAAAACTGCTTGTGCCTTCTATACCTACCTGTCCTGGGAGCCCCCACAGGGCACAGCTCCCCCCGCCACGTGGCTCCCTCGCTCCTGGGCACCACCCTGTCACTTTCTGTGACCGGTGTGTTTGATTCGGCTCTCGTAGCTGCGATGTGGCTCCTGCGACAAAGGCCAGGGATCAGTCTGTGGGGAGCTGGGAGATCAAAATGGACTGAAAGGCTGTCCTGCCTTGAACAGCTCCCCCACAGTATGCTCTAGTCTAGTGGCTAGTGAGCCAGGACTCCTGGGTTCCATCCCTGGCTTTGCCATTGCCTCGCTAGGTGACCTTTGGCAAGTCACTTCCCTGCGCTGTGCCTCAGTTTCCTCATCTGGGAAATGGGGGTCGTAAGGCCTAATCGATGAGATGCTCTGTAAAGCACTGCCAGACTCTTGCCTGGATGGCGGTAGAGCAGGGGACAGCACCACGACTACCCTGCCCTTAGAAGCTCTCCCCAGCTTCCCCCAGCTCTGAGGGGCTCACCCTGGCCCCGAGAACAGCACCTGGCTTTACTCAGCAGCTCCTGGATGTAGTAGAAAGCCCCCCCCTCTGCCAGCCCTCAATGCTTGGTGTCTCAGAGTGTTTGCTTCATCAGCCTTTAGTCTCTTCCCTGCTCCATTTGCTTTTCCTAACACTGCAACCAGGATTCGTACCCCACCTGCAAGGCTTCCCTTGGCCTTCCTCTCTGTAGCTGCAAGGATACATATCGTCGTCCCTCTGAAAGAGGGAGGAGGGGCAGGGGAGCGAGAAGGAGAAAGGTCCCAATGGATCAGGGGACTGTGGAGTGGAGGTAAAGGATCCACACCTGCAGCTGAAAAGGAGATGGTAAAAGGCCAAAAACACCAAACAGTTGTCCAGCAGTGAGAGCTGGGGTTCAGGACTTCTGGATCCTCTTTGCAGGTCTCAAAGACGACCTGTTTGATGATGACAGCTAGGTCCAGGACTCCTGGGTCTGCTCTTGGCTTTGAGACTAATTCATTGTGGGGCATTAGGCAAATCACTTCCCCTCTGCTCTGTCTCTTTCTCTTCAGCTCTCCTCTTATTTGTTCCCCCTCCTTTCTCTCTCTCTCTCTCTCTCTCTCTCTGTGGGTCACACCCAGGGCCGGCTCCAGGCACCAGCTGAGCAAGCTGGTGCTTGGGGCGGCAGATTGTTCGGGGCAGCATTCTGCCCAATCCTAGGGCGGCACAGCCGCTTTTCTTGTTTTGGTTTGGTTTTTTGTTGTTCTTGTTCTGCTCCGGCTGCCCTGAAGGGGGTGGCGGCATGGAGAACCAGAGCACCCTGCAGGGCAGTCCTCTTCTTTCCCTCCCCGCCGACCGGAGCGGAGCCCTTGCGGCAGGCAGCAGCGCAGCGGGAGGGGCCGTGTGGTAGCACCCCTGCTGTAGCCCTGGCCACCCCCTTCTCTCTCACCCGCCCGTCCCTCCCCCTTCCCCCTCCCCCAGGCGGTCCCCCTGCACCCGCGCTCCAGCTGCACTGCAGGGTTTTTTTGTTTTTGTTTTTTTGCTTTGCCGTTCTGGCCACCCCGTTTTTTTTGTTTGTTTGGGGCAGCCAAAAAGCCAGAGCCGGCCCTGGTCACACAGCAGTCCTTCCCCTGCCCTTCTTCTCTGCTTCTAGATGCATTTCTGATCCACTGTCTCTCTGGCCTCCCCCCTCCTTTCCAGGCTGAATGGGTTTGGATGAATCATCAGAAATGAACCATCTATTCCAAATGAGATTAGTTGCTTAAAATGGCATCATTGGTTGGTTTTCGATATGATTCCAGGTGCTGGCTGGTGCTAGCAGCTGGAGCCTCAAAGGCAGACCAGGAGCAAGTTAGATTGCACAGAAACAAGTGGAAGAGAATTTATCTGACACCTGGGGGGAGGCAGCTGCAAACATTACATACAAGTACTGTTCAGGTCATGCACTTCAGACACCCTCCAAAGTATATACTCAATCAAAAAACAAGGTGCAGCCAGGTATTGTGTCCACCCATCTGCTTGCATTACAGGTACGCAAACAAGCACGCACACGAATGCCCCCCACACACACACAAGTATGCCTGCACAAATAAACACTCTCAGATATATGTACAAGCACACAGACACACACAATTGCAAACACACAAATGTGTGTGTATATATATATACACACACACACACACCCTCATAGAAACATGCACCCACAAATTCCTCCCCACACACATGCCATGCAAATATTGCACAACTAGGTGCCCACACACACACCCCTCCACACACAAAGGAGGTGTCTGAAACAGCCAGTGGCTGAAGGCAGTGTTTTGGTCACATCCACCTCCCCCTTCCCAGACAGACAGATGGTGCTCTCTGCTGTGCAGACAGACTGGGCTTCCAGAAGGCTGATTACCAGCTCAGTTATATTGACCAAGGGCCAGTTGCAGGAGAGATGAAATCATTGGTGCTGGTGGATGGTGGCAGGGTTCTGCTTTGTCTGTGGCTGAAGCCAGCGCGTGTACCTTGGAATCCCAGAGGAATACACTGCTCCGGGGCAGGATTCCCCCCATCCCCATTGTTTGCATGCTTGGCTGAGCCTCAAGAGAGACAACAGGGCACTGCAACAATCCAAGGCAGGGGCAGGTGGTGTAGCAGTGAAGGTCTTGGCTGAGCACAGGCACTCTGGCTGGCCAATGGTGTCAGCTGTGGCACAACCCAGACAAGGCCCAGGGAGAAGGCATCTCCAGATTCTGGGATGAAACCCTGGAAAACTGCTGCCTGTCCAGAGACAGCATAACACCAACTGGCTGAACCCCTCTTAAACCACCAGGAGCCCTTCCTTCTACATCTCCAGGCCAGGGGCTATGTAACTGGCACACCCCACAGCCCTGGGGCAGGATGAAATCCTGCTGGGTTCCTGGGAAAGACCAGGGGCGCATGCAGGGTCCCAACACAGGCAGAGGAGGATGCTTCTCACTGGAGACCAGAACGCTCTGAGTCTCTTGGTCTTTGCTCCCTCTCCCCTTATCTCGCTCCTTCTGTTTTATTTGCTTGTTTAATGGATTTGCCTGGAGCCCCAAACAGACAAAGCTGCGGAGAAGGGGCGGGCCTTTTGGACCTGCTTAGACAGCTGGGGATGGCACATTCAAGCCAGACTCCTAGGTCCAATCCTGCTCTCGCTGAGGTCAGTGGCCACTGGAGCTGTGCTGGGATATGCTCGGGAGACACTGCGAAAAGAGAGAGGAAAATAATTTGCAGGAAAACCTCCACAGTCCAGATCTCATCCCCTGACATCCACGTGTGCCAGCTCAGCCTATGGGGGCCTGTCCTGCCCCACAGCATAGGCTGCCCTACAGCTGAACACACATGTCATGGTGTCACCCGAGGCAACGAACACAGGGCCTGATTCTCCACCAGTGGCACTCCATTATCCAATGTAATGGAGCAGGCTTTAAAGGGGAGGATAACTAGGATCATGAACTCAAGCTAGTCTTTGATCCCTTAAAAAAAATTAGCCTGAAAGAACCCAGGAGTCTGAAGTCCCGCTGGGCCCCAGCTCGAACCAGTGAATATGCTGGGCCTGATCCACTGTTGTCCTGCACCTCGGACAAAGGATTACATCAGCACGAAGTGGGTACATAATGCAACCATTTAAATAGAACTCAGCACTGGTATAAGTGACTGCATAAGGTGCAGAGCAATAGAGAATCAGGGTCACGATGTCCCAGGCAAGATAGTGGAGCAGCTGATATGGGACTCGGTTAATAAAGAACTAAAGGAGGGTAATATAATTAAAGCCAATCAACATGGGCTTATGGAAGAGATCCTGTCAGACTAACTTGATGTCTTTTTTTTTAGAGGAGATTACAAGTTTGGTTGATAAAAGGTATTAGTGTTGATATAATGTAAGGCGTTTGACTTGGTACCGTGTGATATTTTGATGAAAAAGCAAGAATGATATAAAATCAACATGGCATATATTAAGTGGATTAAAAACTGGCTAACTGATGGATCTCAAAATGTAACTGAAAATGGGAAATCATCATCAAAGGGGTGTGTTTCCACTGAGGTCCCTCGGGGATCAGTTCTTGGCTCTGTGGTATTTAATTTTTTTTTTAATCAATGACCAGGAAGAAAGCATAAAATCATCACTGATAAAGTTTGCAGAGGACACACAAATTGGGGGAGTGGTAAATCACGCGGAGGACAGGTCACTGATTCAGAGAGACTTGGATTGTTTGGTTAACTAGGTGCAAGCAAACTGTGTGTGTTTGAATACAGCTAAATGTAAACGTATACATCTAAGAACAAATAATGCAGGCCGTACTTACAGGATGGCAGACTATGAAAGCATGGATGCAGAGGAAGAGTTGGGGTCGTGGTGGATAGTGACCTAAACATGCGCTTCTAGTTTGAATCTGTGGCCAAATGAGCTAATGTGATCATGGGATGTATAGAGGGGAATCACAAGTAGGAGTAGGGGTTATTTTACCTCTTTATTTGGCACTGGTGCCACTGCTGCTAGAATCCTGTGTCCAGTTCTGGTGCCTGCAATTCAAGAAGGATGTTGATTAATTGGCGAACGTTCAGAGAAGAGCCAGGAAAATGACTGAAGGATTAGAAAACCTGCCTTATAATGATAGAGTCAAGCAGCTCAATTTATTAGTCTTACCAAAGAGAAGGTTCAGGGGTGACTTGATCCCAGTCTATAAGTACTTACGTGGGGAACAGATATTTAAAAATGGGTTCTTCATTTTAGCAGAGAAAGCTAGAACATGGTCTAATGGTTAAAAGCTGAAGACAAAATTCAGACTGGAAATAAGGTGTACATTTTTAAAAGGGAGAGTAACTAACCCTGGGAACAATTTACTCAGGGTCATGGTGGATTCTCCATCACTGGCCATTTTTTAAACCCAGATGGGATGTTTTTCTAAAAGCTTTGCTCTAGGAATTACTTTGGGGCGGGTCTTTGGCCTGAGTTACAAAGGAGGTCAGACTAGATGATCACAGGTCCCTTCTGGCCTTGGAATCTATGACTCAGCTGGGCACAGAACCCCTGTTCTAACCGCCACACAGCCCTCCCCCAAATAAAGCCTAAAGCTCTGCAAAGCTCACCCCAGCTTCCATAATAGGCATCGTTCTAGCCTGGCTCAAAAGGCTGTAAATAACAGAGGCAAACCCTGATTCAAATTGCCCTGAATTTCAATCAGATCAGAATTTATGGCTCTGCCCCATCTCTAATAAACAGAGATGGAAGCAGTGCAGATGTTGCAAAACCCCACAGGCAACTTGGGAAGAAGAGGGTGAGCCATGAGCTTCATCCAGTCACCTTTTCAGGGTGCAAGCCCCCCCCCCCCGTCCTTTGGCTGCACTCCTGAACTGTATTTGGACCAGCACAATTGCAGCATGCAAAGAAACTACAGCCAAGCGATGGAGTGCGGATGTCACAATCCAATCACCCAGTGTCGTGCCACGCCTGCCAGAATTGTTTGGAAAGGGAGCTCTAAGTGTCATAAACATTTAGACAATTTTCCAGGCTGTTACTCTGGCTAATGTGGGTTTGACAACATTGCTGTTTATGATTTTCATTAGAAAAATCCCATGGTTCCCCTCCTCCTTGTTCATTTTACCCCATCCATCAAGCAAACACCAGGTGGGAAAGCAGTGACTCAGGCAGCAGACTGGACTCAAGGTTCAGCTAACATTGTCCACAGCTGGAGATTCATGGGCCTGGATACCTTGGTGTTATCTGACCTTCCTGATTAGCAGGCGTAGCCTCAGAGCTGGTAATTACACTTCTCTCTCTGTGAAGATCTGCACAGTGAAACTGACGCTTGTTGCGCAGAGTTGTGTACTGCAGCTGGGGGAAGATCAAGGCTAGCCTGTGTGGGGTTACAGTACACACAGGCAGAAGAAACAAATGGTTTTGTTTGGAGGCCAAACTCCACCTGTGTTCAGTAAATGTGCTTAAACATGGTCAGCTTCACAGCTGCCATAAGTCAATGGGAACATTCCAGTGGGGACCAGGGTTGAGCCCCAAGAAGAGGCCTGGTTTAGGACCAGGAGCGACCAAAAATATAGGTTCTCTTTGTATGGCTTTTTGACCTGCATGTGTTTTGCACTTCTTTAGTCCTATGGGTTTCTACACTCACCTGAATGGCTTAGGGCTCAAACCTGAGCCTGTCCTACACCAAGGCCACCCTGCTCCATTCATCTCGGGGATCTTGAAGATAGAGATAAGAGAGATCACCCAGCAGAGGCCTGGATGGAATGTGGATCTCCTGCTTACCTGGAAGCGGTGTTTCTGTCTGTGACCAGGGTCCTAGTGGATTTACAGCTATCTTCCTCATACCAGCATTTGGAGAAACCCTCCACAGGCAAATCCTTGCCCCTAGTAGAGACAGGTTCAGGACTATTTCTTACCTGCGACTGGTTTATGTCATCAACTTGACTGAACAAAGTTTTAATAGCATCCCCAATCAAAAGTGCCTTAGCAATAACTTCCTTTCACCAGCTATAACTTCATGTTTACCACTATTCCATTCAAGATGGATTGTGACTAAAGCCACACTGACAGTCAACTCCGAGGGTGACAAGATTCACACTCTGCTTTGGTAAATCAATCTTCCTCTGACAAAATCTGTTTTAACAAGAGTGATGTTAGAAGCTCATTTGCCCTAATGAGTTTTTCCCCATTGATTTACACATGCTCTGCACAAGTTACAGGGTTACCTTCACGTGAGCACACAGTAACAGCATTTACATAAAAGGTGGCAGTGTTGGGGTAAATTTGGTTACACACAGACAACTGCTTAGTCAAGTAACATACCAACATTGTTACCAACTGGATAAATTCTATCCCCATCTTTGTTGAGGGGAACTTTTTTCCAGTATGATACAGTTCCTGTTCCTTTATTTTTTTGCGTTGGAGCTTAAGTCTGTCCACTTTTGCCTTCACTTCTCATTTCTGCAATCGAATATATGCCATTCTTTGTTCATGTTCAAACCACAGACCTTCTTTCAGTAGCTTCTTCCAGACCAACTATTTTTTGCTTTTGTTCAAGTTCTAGTTGCTGGTTTCTCTCCGCAAGCATTTTCGCTGGGTTTGCTTCCTTATCACTGGCTAAGATTAACAGATTTTTCAGTTCCTGGTCTGGGGCCTATATGATTAACCTGCTTGCTTAGATGTTTTTTCTTATAGTTTAAGTATTTTGATTTATATTAAAGTAAATTTGGCTGTAATGCAAAGGGACCTACAGGCCATATCCTGTATGTTAAGCTAAGGTAAAGTTAACATATCTATATTAAGATCTTTTACCTAGATAAGTACCCACAAATATGTCTACGACTTTAGACAGATCGCTGATGGAAAAATGGTCTAGGGGGTTTCCAAGTTTGTACCCACAGACTTAACAGGTACACCATGGGGAAAGAACTGAAATGACAAAGCCACCATGTGTCTGCACATATCAATATGCACAAACATACTAGCCAATGGAGTAAGCATGCCCTAACATTTTGTGAGTGAGGAATGAAATTTGGGCATAGGAGGAAGGATTTCTGGCACTCGTGCCTTATAAAAGAGGTGACCCACCTTGCTAGAGTATTCTATTTCTACTCTCTATTCTATTCCTCTTCTATGCTATCTAGGACACTACTAACCATTGCTGGCCGTACTCATTTTCTTTCAAACTTTAAGTTCCAAGGGGACTAGGCTAAGCTTGGTTTCCCTAAGCTTTTGTTCTTAGTTTGATTTTAAGTTTAATTTAATCAAGTAAACCTTAAGTTGTGATAGCTCTTAACATTAGCTTCTTCTAAGCACTGCATCTCACTCAAGAATTAAGAAACCTGAACCGCAAGGCTGCTCCTGTGTCTTACCACTAGGTTATCGAGGAAGGGTGTGAGTATATTAACCAAAGCTTTGTAGCCTATAATACTATATTACATATGTATCTTTTGAATAGCAGTAAAAGAAGTGCAACTTTGTAATTCTGAGTTTACCATTTACTTACTAGTTCATTGATAGTAATAAAAGCCTTTATAGCTATTTCTGTCTGTGTGAGCTTCCTGTCATACCCTTGATGGTCCTTTGTAAATTCTGTAGAGCTTGATCCAGGACAAGAACTTTTAGGCTTGCCAATCTGTTTGATCAGAAGATAAAACCCCATACTATCCAAATTATTATTAACACCCTTAATCAGGCAATAGGCCTTTTGCTTAAAATACATCCCTCTCTGTAAGCACAATTCTTCCAGCTTTCTGTCAGGATCTTGATCATGGGTCACACAGTAACTGATTTTTAACCCTTAGCCTCTCCAATATCAGTTAAATTTTGACAAGTGTGTGGTTCTGATCCAAAAACCCAATTAACCTGTGGTCATGGGTATCCAAGCATCACTATGCCACTGTGACCAGGGTCCCAGTGGGGGCCAGTTGTGGTCACTCAATTAGGGTGAACTGCAAAGAATGGTGCAGCCAAACCCCCAAAAGCTGGTGGATATTCAATACTTAGATTCACCAAGCCAGCATAAAACAGCTTCTTATTTACCTTACCGGTTCCTCAGAAGTCCAAACACAGTTCCCTTAAAGTGATCCAGCCTCAGGCCTCCATCCAGGTACCCATGTCAAATACGATAAAAGTTTCTTTAAATCTTATATAAAAGAAAAGGTTCTACCAGTCCCAAAGGATCGGACACATTACCTCCCAGGTTAATGAAAGTTTCAGATCTTACCCAAATACACGCTACAGCCAATTCTTAACTAAACTAAAATTTATTAAAAACAAAGAATATGGTTAAAAGCTCAATATACATACAGACATGAGTTCAATTCATTGAGGTGCAGATTCACAGCAGAAATGGTGAGCTTTGTAGTTGCAAAGTGTTTTCAGAAATAGTCCACAGGTCATAGTCCAATGTCCAAATCTCATATTCAGGGCGTACCAGCACAACTGGACCTCAGTCTTGTAACTCAAACTCCCCTGACGAAGGTTAGGCAGATCTGAGATGACAGAATCAGGATCCAAGGATCTTTTATACAATTTCATGTCTTGACAAGCTGGAGTTTCTCAGGGAACAGAAAGTAATTTGGATGACTTTGAAGGAGGTCCATCAGGATACTTAACTATAGAATCAACACAAGGCCATTTGCTTGTTCCTCTGCCATTCACAGAACATTTCAAAGAGATGTTTACAATTGATTTAAATGCTTTTGACCTCTGAATTATCAGAATACAGCATAGACAAGGACTGTTGATTACATTGTTGATCCTCCTCATACATATGTAAAGACATAAAACCACAAACATTATCTCCCTACACATCTTGAGGGATATTTATTTTGCAGGATGTTTAACCCTTTCTAGCCATGTGTCACACTGTCCCCTGCTAAAAACAGGCAGATCAGCTGGGGAGGGTCAGACCCACCAGCTTTCTTCCATCTGAGGTTCATGCTGCTCTTTAGGAGTTATGAGGTCAGCGTGATGAATTATTCAGCAAGACTCGCTTCCTGCCCAGATCTCACAGCTGACGAGAGGCAGATGTTATAGGAGGAATCTGGACACTGTTCAATCTTGGACCTCTTCACACGCTTCTGCCATGGGAGGGGGAAGAGTTGCCATCTCCTGGGACACAAGAGGAATTTGGTCCCTCTGAAGTGCCGGGGGCCTAGTCCTGTTCCTCCCCAGATGGTGTGCTAGCCTGTCTCCAGCTTCCACCCGGCACTGTGGCATGAAAGCACCAGGTCCGATTCTTATTTACTCCACTGCTGCCAGCGGGGATTGTGGGGAGCTAAGGAGACTTTAACCCACCTTTGCACTCTGTATTCTGGGGCAGGGCTGGGCCCATGTGTAACTTGGAGCAACCTCGGGGCCCCTCTAGCACACTCTGCTTCCCAGACACCATAGGAAACAGCAAATAGGAGCAGTGCAGTGCACTTGGGCCATGCTCCCTGCACCAGGGATCCTTAAGCAGTGGCTGGGGAGATCTCCTGTGGAGAGGTACACAAAAAGGCCGTGGTGTAACTAAGATCAGGCCTGCTGTGTCATCCTGGGATGAGGGCCCTAAAGTCACCAAAATATGGGGTCCCCTTGTGCAGCTTTTGGGCCTATTGGAGCAACTGGGTGTCCTGCAAGTTGTGCCATCACCGAGTCAGAAACCTACACCACAGAGTGGGGAGAGACACCCTCACACCCTTCACCAGTGGAGAAAGGGGAATTCATTCTCTGGGCCAGACTCTCAGCTGGTGTAAATGCATGTCACTCCTCTGACTATAGGGACTTACACCAACTGAGGATCTAGACCTCTACCTTCATTCATTTGATCCTGGGGTAACTCAGACACCTGCCCCACTCCTGGAACATCCAAGTCCTGCTGAGTCTCTGAACCAGTTCACATCGCTCCCCTTTCTGGGCTCGGATCCCAGCCAATAGTTTGTGTGTTCCTCACTCCTTCCTCTCTCCCTTGCTTGTGCTTTATTTGGGGATTATTAACCATGGCTACAATAGCTTTTGTTTATACAGCAGGGATGGCGTCTTGGAAAAAATCAAGATGGGGGAGCGAGCAGGAGGAAGGAAAGACGTGAGCTGTGAGGGGAAAAAAAGGGATGAGTTTAAAATTAAGCACCATCTGGATTTTCAAGTTGGAGGAGCCCAAGATCTTGGGTGCTGCCTCGGGCCCACCTGCTTCTGTGCCACCCAGGGTGCCCATAGGAAACCAGAGTTCCCACACCAGGGACAAAAATGCTCCTGGGCCCTCCTACAAGTGGGAGCTGTGGAACAGGACTCCGCTTCAAAATCTGCTCCAACCAGCCTGTTTGGTGCTGCAGGGCAGGTGGGGGAGCCAGGAGCCCACTTTGGGAAGCAGGACTGGGCAGAACAGGTGTCTGGAATGCTGACTCGAGGGGTGACTGGGGCAGAGCCGGTAAAGCCATTAGCCCAGTGAGCAAACAGGTTCCTGGCTAATCTCAGCCGAGCAGGCACAAAGCAAAGGGGAGGCTGCTCACTTAACCCTGGATTCCATCTGAAATGCTGGGTGTGGCACCACAAGGCAGGGGTGCCCTGGAAAGGGGCTAGCTGCACGGAGGAAAAGAAAACTTGCCTTTGAGTGCCTTCTCAATAGAAAAAAGGAGGTTTTGATGTGACCTAACCTCCCCGCAGCAGCAGGTCTATGGAGTAGAGCCGACTCCTGCCCCACTCTGGAGGAGAGTAGGGTCTAGTGGTTAGAGCAGGGGACTGGGAGGCAGAATTTCTAAGTCCTGTTCCTGACACTGCCATGGAATTGTTGAGACACCGTGGGCATATTACTCCCTCTCTGTGCCTCATTTTCTCTGTCTGAGAAAACAACAGCAACAACACTGACCCAGCTATGTAAAATGCTTGGAGGAAGAGGACAGGGATTAGCCACCCCAATGAAGGAATGAGGAGACTATGAAAAGGAGAAAACTTGGGGGGAAATTATACCATATTTTCCCTGTTGGTGGCACATCTCTCTGAAGGCGCTCACAATCCCACAACAGAAGAAGACAACTGAGGAGTTGGTTACAAAACTGACCTGGTTTAGAGGGCTAGTGAAGGCACCTATAAAAACATATATAACTGTAGCAGCTTGAACACTCACTGCCACAGCACCTCCTGCTGGTCATCCAGGAATTAGCTCAATTCCAGCCCTCAGAGCACCTCCTACTGGCCAATGTCTCTCCTGCCTCAAGCCCCATGTCCCTCCCTCAGGACAGTGCCCCTTAACCTGGGGTTCTGCCCCACAGCAGTCCCTATGCTCTGGCTCTCCTCTCCCAAGGGAACTCCCAACCCTCTATGCCCACCTTGCCTCAGTGGCTACTGCCCATCATCATCTAGCCCCCATTCTCTAGGGCAAACTGAAGTCTGTGATAGCCACACATCATTAGCAAAGGGGGTTGGACCTGCTGCCTTTCTTGACCCAGCTGTCTCCCTATAGCCCCAGTACCTCCTTTGGCCTTCAGCAATGCCTCAGCCTGGGGACTCACCAGACCAGAATGTCCCAGCTTGTCTCCGCGCTACATACCTAGTGCACCTTCACACAGCTAGGTCCTTCCCACTCAAAGGCTGGAGTAAGACTGACCCAGTGCCTCCCTTAGCCCTTATATCAGGGCCAGCTGTGGCCTGATTGGGTGTGGCCACAGCTGTGGCCGCCTCCCCAATCAGCCTACCCTTTTCCCCTAGGAGCGGGGTAACCGACCCGCAACAATAACAAATGGAAGAAGCGGGAAGTTGATAGTAATGAATAAAAGAAATTAGGAATTATAGAAAAAAATGGATAAGGGAAGCAAAAGGATCCAAGGAGAAACCTGTGGCCAGACAATAAGAAGGAGTTTGTAAAATATATTAGGAACAAAAAGGATCCTGAGAATGGTATTGGTCTGTTACTAGTTGGAAATGGGAGAATTCTCAATAATAATTCAGAAAAACCAGAAGTGTTCAATAAATATATTTATTCAGTATTTGGGAAAAACACTGATGATATACTCTCATCATATGGTGCTGATAACACTCTTTCCAGTCCCCTAGTATCTGTGGAGGATGTTAAACAGAAGTTACTAAAGGTAGACATTTTTAAGTCAGCAAGTCCAGATAACTTGCATACAAGAGTTTTAAAAGAGCTGGCTGAGTAGCTCACTGGGCCATTAATGTTGATCTTCAATAAGTCTTGGAGAACTGAGGAAGTTCCAGAAGACTGGAAGAAAACTAATATTGTGTCAACTTTTTAAAAGGGCAAATGGGATAACTAGGGTAATTATAGGCCTGTTAGCCTGACATCAATTCTGGGCAAGATAATGGAGCTGCTGATACAGGACTTGGTTACATGACCCTCCTTTAGTTCTTTATTAATGAATGCAAATTGACATGGGTTTATGGAAAATAGATCCTACCAAACTAACTTATCCTTTTTCTGATGAGATTACAAGTTTGGTTTATAAAGGTCCTAGTGTTGATATAATATACCTAGATTTCTATAAGGTGTTTGACTTGATACCGCATGAATGATATAAAATGAACATGGCACACATTAAATGGATTAAAACCTGGCTAAATGATAGGTCTCAAAATGTAACTGTAAACGGGGAATTGTCATTGAGTGGGTGTGTTTCCAGGGGGGTCCTCCAGGGTTCAGTTCTTGGCCCTACACTATTGAACATTTTTATCAATGATCTCGAAGAAAACCTACAATCACCAATGATGCTTACAGATGCCATAAACATTGGGGGAGTGACAAAGAATGAAGAGGACAGATCACTGATTCAGAGCTACCCCTCTAAGGTGCCACAAGTACTCCTGTTCGTTTTCCAGATCTGTTGGTAAACTGGGGGCAAGCAAACAATATGTGTTTTAATACGGCTTAATGTAAATGTATACATCTGTAAACAATGTGGGCCATGCTCCACAGGATGGGGGACTCTATCCTGGGAAGTAGTCACTCTGAAAAAGATTTGGGGGTCGTGGTGGAAAATCAGCTGAACATAAGCTCCCAGTACGATCCTGCATGTCTAAAGAGGGGAATCTCAAGTAGGAATGGAGAGGTTATTTTACCTCTATATTTGTGTGGTGTGGTGCTCACCCCACACTTGTCCTGAAGGGGTTAATGTAGGCTAAGAGGGTGGGCCAATTAACCAGACAGGCCACAGCTGAGGGGAATCAGGTGGCTAAAGTAATCAGACTGAATAATGAGAGAGCCCAGCTGAGGAGGAAGGAGGAGGGCTGAGTTTATAAAGACAGGAAGGTGGCTGTGCCTAGGGGGTTGCAGGGAAGTGCCCTGCCTGGAAGAAAGGAGGTGTTTTGGGGGCTGGCAGCCCCAGAGAAGGGGGAGAGCTCAAAGGTTATGAAAAGGTAGTAAGGTCCAGGATGGTGCAGACCTTGCCTGCTGTGGGTCTCTGAGCTGGACTTTGGAGCAGAGAGCAGGCTCTGGATTCACCTACCAGCCCCTGGGGAAGTGGCAGAGAGCAGACTACCTGGGACAGTTTGTCCTAAAAGACTTTGATACCCAGGGCAGGGCGGACCACAGTGACCTGGCTAGAGGGCCAAGTCATAATGAGGAAGCTGCAGCTTCTTGAGTGAGAGAGGTTGCAGGGTGAGAGGACAATGGGTGGAGAGCCCACCAGAGGAGGGCGCAGATCCTGGAAGGAGCTAATCCCTACAGTGGCCAGGAGGAGCCGCCCCAGTGGTCAGTTGAGCTGTGACAATTTGGCATCAGTGCGACTGCTGCTGGAATGCCGTGCCCAGTTCTGGTGCCCACAGCTCAGGATGGGTGTTGATAAATTGGAGAGGATTCAGAGAAGAGCCACGAGAATGGTTAAAAGGTTAGAAAACCTGCCTTAGCATGATAGACACAAGCAGCTCAATCTAACGTTAAGCCATGATATGATCACAGTACATGGGGAACAGATATTTAATAACAGGCTCTCCAATCTAGCAGAGAAAGGTAGAACACGATCCAATGGCTGGAAGTTAAAGCGAGACAAATTCAGATTGAAAATAAGGTGTAAGTGTTTCACAGTGAGGGTCATGAACCACTGGAACAATTTGCCAAGGGTCATGGTGGATTCTCCATCACTGGCCATTTTGAAATCCTGATGGGATGTAATTTCTAAAACCTCTGCTCTGGGAATTATTTGGGGGCAGTTCTCTGGCCCGTGCTATGCAGGAGTCAGGCTAGACGATCCCAATGGTGCCTTCTGGCCTTGAATCTGTGAAAGCGTTTCCCTAATACTAACTGAGCGTCCAGCCACTGTCCTTCTCCCCACTTCACAGCTGGGGAAAGGAAGGCACAAAGGGGGAAGTGATTTGCCAGGGCTTCAGCGAGAGAATCAGGAGAAGAACCCCAGAGTCAGCTTGTCCAGTGTCCTTAAGAGGCACCTGCTGTCCTGGGATGGATCAGTCCAGCTCCCCGAGTCGCTGCAGAGAAGGATTTAGAAGCAGCGAATGGGCCAGAAGGTCCCACAGGAAATGAGCTGGTGTTGCGGGAGAATGGTGGGGAAGAGACCCTCCCCCTGGCTATTTTTAACCTTCCTTTTCCTTTGCAAAACTTCTGAGTTCATCTCTCCCTTTAGCACATGCCCAAGAAAAGGCTCCCATTGTTCGGAGCCGGACAGGGTCTGTGAGACAGTCACTCACTTTCACAATGGCTGGGATTATATTGCCAGCTGGGGCGGGTGGCAGAGGAGGGGAGGCCCCCGGCTGGAGCAGCTGCCTCCCAGATTTTCCCTCTTCATGTGCTAACTAACTAATTAATCCAAATAAATAAGACTGGTTGGCGGGGAGGAGAGGAAGTGAGGGCCAGAGGCAGGGCTCTGGGGCTAGCGGTGATCGCAGCAGCCGGGGAAAGTGAGGCGGGGGCCCAGGTGGCAGGCTGGATGCCGCGGACATTGATCTCTGTTACAGGAAATCCCCAGGCTCCGGATGAGACGGGACAGGGTGTCACTGCCAATTAGAGTCTGGCGTGGTGCTGAGTGTACACCGGGGAGGATCAAGGTCTGATCAAACAGGCCGGTGTCTCCTGGGCCCACGGAACGCCGGGGGCCCTCCGAATATATTATTTTCAGTAATCACCAGCGCCATGGATTGCTTCCCTAGCACCTCCTCCCTCCTAGCTTCTACACAGGCAGCACTGCCTGGGAGCTAGAGCATGGAACGAGGAGCCAGAGAATGGCCTTTAGTGGCAAGAGGCTAGGACTCCTGGGTTCTTTTTCCAGCTTTGCCATTAGCTCAGTGGTCAGGTGACACGCATGTCCCCTCTCTGGGCTCCAGAAGGGCAAAGCATTATTGATCCTGTTGGTTCCCAGATGCTGGCCTGGCCTGACCCATCCCTGAGTGTCCATCCGTCCGTCCTGCACTCCACACACTGTCATCAGAGCTGCTTCTTAGGGTACGTCTACACTGCCAAAGATACCCGTGTGGCAGCGAGTCTCGGAGCTCGGGTCAACTGCCTTGGGCTTGTGCTGTGGGGCTAACAATGGCAGCATAGACATTCGGGCTTGGGCTGGAGACCCTCCCTCCTCACCATCCCCTATAAATAGCGGCAAGAGGCTGGAACATCACGCAACACTGCAGGTACCGACATGGGGTGTTTGCCCAGAGGGGACACTGGGTATGTTCTGGGCTCCTCCTGTCCGCTGCCTGTCAGAGCTCATTAAGACAGCTGATGGTCCAGGGAGTTCTGTGTCTCCAGCTTCACACCAACACCTATTCATTAGCAGCCCCCGGGCCACGACCACAGGGAAAGTGACATCTGGAGGGAGCCTGGGCTGTGGCTGAGTGACTCCGATGCCTTTGGGACGGGCTTAAATCAAACTGCCTGGTGCCATTCGGATGCCCGTACTGCGTGTCCAGACTTCCCCCGGTACCTCTGTTTACTTCCGATCACTCTTCTGCTGGGTGTATTCCATGCCCTGGGTCTCAGTTATATGGCACGTCTCCCATCCCAGCGGCCTCACGGCTAGCGGGTCTGCTGGCCCAGTGGCCAGGGCTCGTCACTGGGCTGCTTGCGCTGGACTGGGGACAAAAGGAATAAAGCTTAATTTGGCAGGAAAGAAAAATGGCGCCCGGTGGCAGCAGCAGCGACAGTGGGGGGATGGTGGGGTGGGGTTGGGGTGGTGGAAGGGGCTCTGCTCCCCAGGACTAGCTCTAGTCTCAAGCTTTGCCGATTGCCCCATGCAGCAGGAACACAGCCCCTTAAGCCCACCGAGGTAGAACCACTGACACCCTCTGTCCCCTTTTCCTGCTGCCGCTGATCCAGAGCGGACTGTGTGCCCTGCCTGGCTCCATCCTCTCCAGGTGCCAGAGCCCCTTATTAAGGTCCATTGCGTTAGCAGGCTTGGGTTTGGAGCGTACTCACAACAGCCCCTGCGCTTTGCTGTCCCTAGGTCTGAGTTATTCTGTCCGGTATCCTGGGAAGGCGGCTCTTGTATCGTGCTCTGGGCTGGGGCAGGTTGGAGGCAGCCTGGCTAAATTCACCAGCTTAGGGCAAGTTGGGGTTTTTTTACAGGCTGGTGAAATAGTTGAGATGCGGTGTAAAGGCCGGGCGATTTTCCAGTGGCTTTGCCCGGCCAATTCCCACACTCCTCCCCAGCCAAGACTCAGCCAAGGACATGCTGACTAGTGATAAGGAGAGGGCTACTGCACGGAGCTCTCCCCTGAACTTGCATTTACAGTGACTGCCTAACTCCTGTCCAGCCCGTTTCCTCTGCAGATCCCCCCATGCTTTATACAGGTCACCGCCATTGCAGAGGGGGAAACTGAGGCACAGAAAGGGCTAGTCCGTTGCCAAGGGCCACCCAGTCAGTCAGTGTCAGAGCGGGAAGCCAGATTGCAGTCTGATGCTTGAGCCCCTGGGCCGTGCTATGGCCCTTTTATCTCTTCTCAATGATCCTGTTTATGGCTGAGGTTCTGCAGCTGCTCCCTGCCTTGCTCTGGTCACTGCAGCCAGACCGAGTTCTGACCCCTGTGGCCTAGAGAGAGAGTCTCAGCTCAACAGCTAATATCTCAGGCCGGTGAACATTAGAAAACCATCAGGCGGGCTGTAAAAAGGGGCAGAGGGGAATGGAAGCCCACTGGCTCGGAACAGTGGGATTTAGCCGGGCAGGTTTTTCCCATGGATTTTGCATGCGTTTCCCAGCGCTCTTTGGAAAATTTCCAGAAAGGATATTAGTGCCCCAGCTTCCCCGGGACAGCCATCCCCCTGCTTCAGAAACCTTGCTCCGGAAACCCCCATATTCGGAGCTGCGGCTGGCAGAGATCCGCAAGGCTGCCAGTCTGAACAAAGGGGCAGGAGGAAGGAAAGCTCATTCTTTTTGTGGAAAAGACAGATCCTATCGGCTTTATTCTGGGGACCCTCTCTAAGGGCCTGACCCTGCATGGAACTGTTGAGCACCCTCCACTCCCACAGACCCCAAAGACTTGAGGGAGCTCAGCACCTTGCAGGACTGGGCCCTAAATCAACTGCATACAATTTTCTTCTTTGCATCCTATCCTAACCTGTTTGTGGGGCTGTTAAAACAGCTGCCGTGTCCCACT